GAGAGAGAGCACAAGCAGGGGGAGCGGGAGAGGAAGAAGCAGGCTTCCCGCCGGGCAGGGAGCCCGATGCGGGGCTCGATCCCAGGACCCCGGGATCATGATGTGAGCCGACGGCAGATGCCCAACAACTGATGCCCAACCACCCAGGCACCCCTGTCTTTTTCTTTCTTGTTTGTGGGAGTTGCTTTATGTAAATTTAAACTGTGTTCTTTGCTTCAGGATGACGTGATGATGCCTCAGAGGGTGAGGCTACAACTGGAAGCTGCTGCCCGGCACCCGACAAGTGTGAGTCCTGCGTCTGTCCCCAGCATGTGTGTGTCCTGCGTCTGTCCCCAGCACGTGTGTGTCCTGTGTCTGTCCCCAGCACGTGAGTCCTGCGTCTGTCCCCAGCACGTGAGTCCTGCGTCTGTCCCCAGCACGTATGTGTCCTGCGTCTGTCCCCAGCATGTGTGTATCCTGCGTCTGTCCCAGTGCGTGCGAGTCCTGCATCTGTCCCCGGTGTATCCTGCGTCTGTCCAGCGCACGCGAGTCCTGCATCTGTCTCTGAGTTGCCGTCCCCTTTGAGGAAGCACCGTTGCTGCTGTTTGTGTTGAGGCTCTTCCATAGGGTAAGACTGCCCCATCAGAGCGTGATCAGTGACTGCTGTGTCTCTGGACACTCCCACTGCTCCTGAGAAGGAAAACGTGCCTTTTATTTGGGGCAGCACGCTTTGCTTTCAATGGGCACAGAGGTCTTCTTGGTTTAGTTTTATTTTCATCAGCATTTCAGAGGCTATGTGCCCGGGACATGGAAACCAGGCTGAGCACTCTCATGTGTTAGCAGATTAAAGGGTTATCTTATTACCTGGAAAACCTCAGACTGTAGCTCTCAACTTCGGAAGGGCTCCCCGGTTGGTCCGTCTCCCTGGGCACTCATCTCCCGACGAGGAGGCCCACGTGGACCCGGAGGGCGTTGTGGGCCCAGGGTCACTCACCCCTGGTGGCTGACCCCCAGAGCCTGGGTCTGACCCTGGCGCCCACTGCTCAGACATCTGCCTGAAGTTTTAGTGAAAATGTCTGAATTACTGTGATGATCACTGATTTTAGAAAGTGTGAAACAGAAAGGTCTGCAGGACTACGTTCAAACCACAGTGCCAACTATCCCAGTGGACGGCCCCCCTCTTCCCCGGCTCCAGGCTCTGCTTGCTCTTGCCGTGTGCCCTGTCCACACCCGCATGAAGCTTCTCCAGTGTCTTGTGCACACCAGCTCCCGGGGATCTGAATCTGGGCATCAGGTGGGGCCTGAGCTCAGCATTTCCACACGCTCTGGGTGCTGGAGGGCTCGGGCCATCCCCCAGACCGTCCCTGGGCTGTCCCCCAGACCGTCCCCCAGGCCATCCCCAGACCGTCCCCAGACTGCCCCCAGTCCGTCCCCAGGCCGTCCCTGGGCCATCCCCCAGGCTGTCCCCAGGCCATCCCCAGGCTGTCCCCAGACCGTCCCCGGGCCATCCCCCAGACCATCCCCCAGGCCATCCCCAGACCGTCCCCCGGGCCATCCCCAAGGCCATCCTCAGCCCGTCCCCAGATTGTCCCCAGACCATCCCCGGGCTGTCCCCCAGACTGTCCCCAAACTGTCCCCAGGCGGTCCCTGGGCCATCCCCAGACTGTCTCCAGGCCATTCCCCCAGGCCATCCCCAGACTGTCCCCAGGCTGTCCCCAGACCGTCCCCCAGGCCATCCCCAGACCTTCCCCCATGCCATCCCTGTACCGTCCCCAGGCCGTCCCCCCAGGCTGTCCCCAGACTGTCCCCAGACCGTCCCCGTGTTGTCCCCCAGGCCATCCTCAGGCCGCCCCCAGGCCATCCCCAGACTGTCTCCAGGCCGTCCCCAGACCATCCCCAGACCGTCCCTGTACCATCCCCCAGGTCGTCTCCAGACCATCCCTGGACCATCCCCTGGGCCGTCCCCCAGGCCATCCCCAGACTGTCCCTAGACAGTCCCCGGGTGTGTGTAGAGCCCATTCCTGGGACAGGCGGGGTTTAGCAGGCCATCCTCGGGAAACCTGCATGGTGTGAGGTGCTCAAGGAGGGGAGGCTCAGAAGTGCACAACACGACAGAATTTCCAAGGAGCTTGAATGACTTGTTCACAGAGATGAATTCGTTCTCTTCCAATGGCCCTTTGTTTTGGAGCTTTGGATTTAGTGCACTGACTTTCTGCTGCTTTCTCCAGCTGCCCAGCCCCACACACGACGCTGTGACTCGGGGTCTTTGGCTGCTGGTCAGCCCTGTAAACACGTGCACACGCTCCCCCATGAGGGCTCTTGTCCTCAGGGATGTGAGGCGTGTTAGTGTTAAGTTAGATGCTGAAGGTTCCTAGTCCCTGAATTGCAACTACACTTGTGTTGCTTAAAGTTACACATTTTTAATGTAAGCATGTCCTTGAAATATGCCCGTAAAAAGATAAAAAATGGCCCCTCCGCTGCATCTTGAGAAGCTACTACACTGCTCTTTGGGCTGGAAGCTTCCGGAAGGTGGGACGTGTGGGAGGTTCAGAAGTGCCCAGTCGCACTCCATTGAGAAGTGGCCCCTCGGCTGAGGTCATGTCATGAGGGCCAGTGTGTGTCCTGGGGTCCTGACGGCAGGGGTCTGATGTCACCAGCTGCTGTAACCCTCAGGCGAGTGGGAAGCCAGCCCCCACAGCTTCCTCGTGAGCACTCTCTGCTAGAATGGGACCGGCCGCATCGTCCAGGAAGTCAGCTGGTCGTGGGCCTGAGTCATGGCTGCAAAACCTCTTCCCGGCAGCACATAGCCGAGTGTTTGAGGAACCGCAGACGCAGGCTCCCAAGTGGGCACAAAACTGACCGTGACAGACGGAAGGCAGCATGTGGCCAGTGCTGCCAAGGTCTGAGCCGGAGCCCAGAGCGTGAAGGAGGTGGGAGACAGTGCGGCGTCTGAGGGTGTGAACCCTGGGGGGCGCGAGGGGCGCCTTCATAGGAGCTGCGGGGCCTGCGCGCAGCTCTGTGTCGTTCACCAGATCCTGACAGGAGATGGGAGCGGCAAAGTTTAAGAACCACAGATATGGGGGCGCCTGGGTGGCTCAGTCATTAAGCGTCTGCCTTCAGCTCAGGTCATGATCCCAGGGTCCTGGGATCGAGCCCCGCATCGGGCTCCCTGCTCGGCGGGAAGCCTGCTTCTCGCTCTCCTACTCCCCCTGCTTGTGTTCCTGCTCTCGCTATCTCTCTCTCTGTCAAATAAATAAATAAAATCTTAAAAAAAAAAGATTCCCTCTCTCCCACTGCCCCTATCCACTCTCTCTCTTCAAAAAAAAAAAAGGGAAGGGGCGCCTGGGTGGCTCAGTCAGTTAAGCGGCTGCCTTCAGCTCAGGTCCGGGATCGAGCCCCGCGTCGGGCTCCCTGCTCGGTGGGAAGCCTGTTCTCCCTCTTCCACTCCCCCTGCTTGTGTTCCCTCTCTCGCTGTGTCTCTCTCTATCAAATAAATAAATAAAATCTTAAAAAAAAAAAAAAGAACCACAGATATGTGCAAATACGTGTATCCCTAGCCCTCGGCCCCCACAGAGTCCAGGAGATGCCCGTTAGACGTCCACAGTCATAGACTGTGGAATCTCTGGCGCTTTCTGGTTGGAAGTGAAAAGATGTCAGAAGATGCTGTGACATCCAGTGTCGGCAGGTCAGCAGCTCCTCCTGGGAGCCGTGGGGCGGGTCGTCCAGCCCTGGGCCCTGTCCCCCCAGCAGGGCCCCCGGTGCCCTGCAGGGATCCCCACCCTCCCTCCAGGGAGGCTGATGGGAGCTCTCAGCCACATGGCAGGAGAGATCAGATGCACAAACAGTGTCGTTGGTCCCGTTTCCCTGTTGGGAAGAGGAAAAAGAATGGAAAGAAGTGTGTCTGGGTGGGCTTCTGTTCACAGTTTCCGTCTGTAAGGAAGATGGAGAGACTGGGGTTTCCAGAAGCTTCTTTCACTGGCTCTGGCAGCTGTGATGGCAAGATCTGAAACGAGCACCCCAGTTTTCCCCAGGATGAGACCTCACTCCCCACGAGGACTGTACCAGCTTTCCTTGTGGTCCACTTGGCACGGAGCACGTGACCCGCGAAGCTGCAGCCGGTGCTCGTGCCCTGTGGGCAGACAGCGCAGCCTCAGACGCTGCACCTTTCAGACAGTGATGCTCGTACAGCGGGCGTTTAAAATAGGCTGTGCACGGAAACTTCTGAAGAGTTGGTCACCAACGTTGACGGTTTAGAGAGTGAGAGACGTTCAGATATGTTGTGTTCCATACTGGAAAAAAAACACAATTTACTTCTTCAATGGAATTGTTTGGGGTGGTTCTTTGTGCGTAGGCGCAAATGGACCACCAAGTCTAGGGATGCATAAGGAATTTGGGAAAAGGCATACTGTGTCCTTTCGTCTTAATCTGAATTGAAGCAACGTTGATTTGCAGTTTTATAAGTTTTATAAAGTTCTAGGTTAGAGTTTTTCTTGCTAACCTTATAATTCAATTCACTTGATGTTCCGTTCCCACACTCAGAAGCTGCCTGCTCGTGCTGCATTTTTGTCCCAGCCTCGCAGAGAGACTGGGTGACCCGTGTGGTTGCTCCTGCATTAAGCATAGACTAGGGATGTCACAAGTCTTGTGGACCCAGAGCAAAATCAGCAGGGTTGTTGCTGCGGGGCTGGGTTGTTTTCCTTTCTTTTCTTTTTTTAAATCATGACCTACAGAAATCTTAATTTGCAGTTGCTGGTTGGTTGTCAATTATGTTGTGGGTTGTTTGGAAAGAATGAAATGAATGCTAAATGTATGCTTGTCGTTGGTCATGATTTTTTAAGGCCATTTACAAGGAAACCCTATAATTATGAAGGAAGGGCCCTTGGTGACACTTCTTATACCGGGCCATTGCCTGTTTACTGCAGAACTTTTGAGGTGTCTGATGTTGGGTGCCACGAGGCAGCTCCCAGCATAACACCCATCCAGCCACTGACTGGACATTGCCGAGTGGAGGTCAGCTCTGGGACAGGCATTGGGGTGAGTTAGGGCCCGACTGTCTCTGGCCTGGGCCTTCCCTGTGGGGGTCTCCTGCACAGAGGGGGAGAGCTGTGAGTGCGTGGTTTCAGGAAGGCAGGAAGAAGGTGGGGGTGCCCCGCGGGAGAAGCGGGAGCACCTTGCAGAGGTGTGTGTATCCTACAGCTTTTCCAGCCTGGTTGACGGCCCCTCCACTGTGGCCTCGGACATCGGACCCTTGCAGGCTGACGGTGGGACTTCCTACATCCCTGATGCCACCGAGTGAGTCCCCAGGG